GGGGGGGGGGGGGGAGCGAAACGCAGTGATATGGTCATGTCTACCGAACCGACGACACTTCGCCGGGAGAGTCAGGGAGGCATGACCGATCTCAAAAGCGGGGAAACGCTGCCCAACTTGCCCGAATGTTTGCGTTAGCCAACATGTTTACATGATACGAAAACGAAAAACTCGGCCAAGGCCACCGGCAGCGAACGGTGACGTGAGTGGCAAGTCAAGGCGCACAAGAGAGCCCGGCACTGCCTCGATCGACAAGTCTCGGGGGCTGCGTCAACAATAAAACGAAGGCGGAAAAAAAACACAAAACAACAGATAAAGAGGATGTGAAGCGGTACATGGCTGCCACTTTGTCACATCGGAAGGACAGGCGTTGCTCGCACTCACCCTCTTGTTGAACTTGCGCATGTTAAGTCGGTTACGCGTCCTCTGCTCGGAGTACACGCAAGAGCACCATCGCCGGGTCAAAAAGTGGAGGAGGCGAACAGGTCAGAGCGGCTGCGGGCGATTGGGAAAAGCAAGCGCTGTACACTTACAAACTTTGACAAGAAAGACAAAAAGGCGCACGGTACTATTTTGGGCAGGTACCCTGTGACCACAGAAGGCGTCCTCGTCAGGAGTTGGAACCGAATACTGCAAAGACTCCACCACATCCCGTTCAACTGTGGGTATATTTGGGTAGTCATTCTGTGTGTGTTTATTTTTCCGAATATTCCAACGTACTGAGCAGAGACCGGAAAGGTTATAATGTGACAACAACAACCACAACGGTATTCGACATCATGCGACTTTCAGGGGGCAATCCAATGGGTTCTGGGCTACTCGGGGGTATGGAGGAACTCCTGCACTCCGGAGTTCCGACAGCTCCTTGAGCACGAAAAGCTTGCCAATTCAACTTCTCCCCCGCAGCCAATCTACTTCGTGCCACATCGGTTGAAATGCTCCATTTGAGGCAAACTGGCTCGCCTTAGCCATAACTGTCGAAAGGCCCTCATCACATGCATTATACATCACAAGCTTGGCCTACTACAGCAAGTGGTCGTTGCCACCTGCTTCCAAACTTGCCTGCGCTCAAGTGCGAGTTTTGAGTGATCTACCAAAGGCCACGGCAGCGATACCACAGCCAAGGGAACAATCTGTGGGGTGGGAGCCATGTCGAAATCGGCGGTCGCTAGCACAGGCAGGAAGAAAGCGGTTGCTGTATGCGTGAAATCTGTCAAAGTCTGACCCTTGAATTTCGGCGAGGAGCAGCGCGTCGGTCCTCTATTTGTGATGACGTACATGCCACATGCCTCAGACCAAGCAATGAAGCCGACAAGACACTTGAAAGCGAATCACGGGCGATACAGCAGTACGTCCACGTCAACGCAAGTTGGTTGCCCTTTTGAGTTTAGGGTGCTCACACCTCAAAACCAAATCAGGCGTTTCTTCAACCACAAGAGGACAGCACCGGACCAAATCCTGCTGCTGTGGACAAGCAACCAACATGGAGCGAGAAATGTAACCGAGGGAACATATCCCCTCCCAGTACACATTCTACGGGAATAACCTCTGGTGGGGGTCAAGCTGGGCGCTCAGCAGCGTGCCTCAACGTCCGTTGCCCGAGTCTTGCGTATGATGTGTACTTGGGCAGCCAGCACGTGATGTTTTTCAGCACGGTAGAATTTACCACATAGAACAAAAAGGCACAATCAGTGTCGGGAAAGACAAGGTGCCCACCTTCTCCTTCTTCGCGTTCACCCTGCAAGACATGATTGCGCCACCCCGAGCTGCTCACCCCCGCCACCGAGGAATCCGACCACATACGAGAGTGACGCGAAAAGTGCAACGCGCACGCGCGAGAGGGCATCAATAAAACGCCAGCACAGCAGCAGAGGAGAAGGGACGGATTGACGCATTCCCAGGTGGTTAACTAACTCAGCAAGGAGCTTCACAAACCCAAGCTGTCGGCATGAGGCGAGCTTCACTTTGACATCACCGCGCCCGTGCGGCCCTGCCACCGTGAGTGCAGTGGACTGCTGGTGCGCACTTACCAAAAGTCAATATGAAAACATGAGGAGGGGAGAGAGCTTGGCCCGCGAGGTCAAAAACACGCGTTGTGCGCTGAACAACACCATACTCCAGCCACCAACAGACGCCCGGACTCACCGAACGACCAGACCACTGCATCTACACATGAGACTTTCTACCATGAGCTTTGACACCCTTTCGCCCTCCAGGGCGAGCGAGTTAGTCCTGCCTCATGACTACGGCTGCTGCTTCGTACCTGAGGCGGTGCTTCGAGGGGAGGTCGTTGCAGGAGCCCGCAAAGTCGTCATCGGGGATACGAAGGCCAACGAGCTGGCCACGAGGCACGCCAGTGCTAGGAGTTGCTTGAACGCCATTGTTTTCCTCCTCCTCTATCTTTTCGCTCAAGGTCAGACTTCCACGCTCCTTATTACAGCTGCTCCAGTGTGGTGTGTGCAGCAGCAAGGGTGTTGTCGCGAGAGCGATACCGGGGACGCTAGCGCTCTATCCCCTCTTTGGAGGCGTGTTCTAAGAAGCTCGCGCCGACCTCTGCTCCGATCCCCATCCTGCGGTTCTGCGGCGAAGCAACCAACGGAAGGTTACCTCTCTCTTCCACATCTCTCCACAACCATGCCGGTAAGCCGCTCTCTCAGTATGCACAACGCTGCACTATTCTGCCATCGGGCACCGCTGAGCCTGTCGCGGAAGTGCTTGCTCGTTTCCACGTACACAGCCCACGTACCTACAGGTTGCCCGGGCCAATGAGGATGTCCAGCAGTGCCCACCAAGTACCAACACTCTAGCTGAGTGCACGCTCAAGGCGGCCTTGGTTATGTAGTTGGTGTGAACGATCGATACTATCGTGCCACTGAGTCTAGAAAAATGATGCCCATGCGTGATTTCTGGGTCTTTTTCTTACACCCAGGTATCGTGGGTATTTTGTGTGATGAACCCAAACTCTCTCCCCTCCATGTCTGTACCTGGCGCCTTACTCTACTGTTGTTGTATAGCAGTAAAGATACCCTCACAGAGAGACTACCCGTCCGAGATACAACCTCAGTTTTGCACTCCATTGTGCTCGCAGGTCGGCCAAGCAATGCTCGACGCTCTGCAGCGGAAAGAGTTCTGCGACAAAAAGAAGGAGACTAGGACCATCTTCATCGGTGAGAGCCAAGCGCGTCTTGTCACTTCGATGCGTGCACTTGCGTTGCTCTCACGTAGCCGTCGCCGTGTCTCGCACCCACATAGATATACAGCAAGCAGTCATGGTTGACCGCGCTTCGCGGCTTTGGATCCTCCGCGGCCATCGCCCACGCCACCGCGTGGTTGGAGGGGCCTTTCGGGACGCGCTCCCACCATAGCAGCAAATGGAACGAACGCCGCCAAGTGAAAGACTGCCCATGGGGTGTAACAGCTCGATGCACCCTTTGGTGGTCGCCTGTATTGATTCCTCCGCTACATACAGCACACCGAATTACATACAGCATTGATAGTTGCCTCGCTCGGGTGTATTGATGCCAAACCGCCTCTGAGTAAAAACCAGCCACGTGCTCCTGCACATATTGAGAAAGCAAGGGTGCCTATGATAAACCTCTCCAACTCCTTGGCGTACTCTTCTCGTCGCGATCGAAGTTCGAGGGGGGCAGAAAATGTGCAAGTACGATATGCGGAGACAAGCGATAGCGACAACGCCTCCTTTGCTAGCTATTAGTGGGTTCACCTTTGCTGACACTTGAAAGAAGAGGGTCCTAACCGGAACACAGACACGCAACAATCCTCGCGGGGGGGGGTTCTCGTAAAATCCGTTGTTGTCAGGCACGTACCACGCAGGTAGAAAAACAGTGTTTTGTCCACATGTTGATCACTGAAACGCACAACGCCTGTGCTCGCTGTTCCTCCCCCGCATACCACACTCTACTCACCCTAATTCCCCACAAGCCCTTTGCCAGCGGACAACTACTTCGCTTCTCACCAACGTATCAAGCGCCCATCATCCACGTCCGCTGGTATGATGATCCACCCCGGACCCCTCCCCCCCCCCCGAACTCCGCCGCACGCGACATGAAATATCTCACCACACCCGAAGAAGATCAGTCCCATACCCCTGGGAGAGACGCTGCTACTGAAAACGGCACCGGTTGTAGAACCAGCAGTTTTTTGACAGCTCCCAAAACCCGACCAAGGACCAGGACGACTTATCGGATCGAGCTGAAATCGTTAGTGTTTGCATGTGATACCACACCCTGTTTATGCTTCCTCACGGCCATGTGACGATATTTCTTGGGCGTACGTGTTGTGACCCACCGGTTCATGTGTCTTGTGTGTATTCCTCCGGCAACAGGCCCACCTGGCGCCGGCAAAGGGACGCAGGCCCCTTCAGTGAAAGACGACTACTGCCTGTGCCATCTGGCCACCGGCGACATGCTCCGCGCAGCCGTCGCCGCCAAGACCGACTTGGGGCTCAAGGCGCAGAGCATCATGGAGGCCGGGGAGTTGGTGAGATTTGCCGGGACAGGGGGAGAGAGGTAACGGAAGGTAGCATAGAGAGGGAGAGAGAGAAAAGAAGAGAGAGAAGACAAACAGATGAGAGGATGAAGACGAGAGAGTTTTTGTACTGACCATTGCGCCGCAGCACCGAGGGAGGCACGTGTGGCTCGCTGTTTTAGACATTAGCTGCTGTCGCCGCGCGCACACTCGCTGTCTTGCCTGGAAATCAGTACGAGAGCGCGTTTTCGCTGTCTACATGTAAGGAGGCACACACATTTTCCTACCTCGCAACCAAGACGATTGCGCCTATTTAGGTAGCGTGCGTATCTCCCAGTGCAGTAGAGGGAGCAAGTACCTTCAAGTACCTTATGACCTGGAATCGGCCGACCACTCTGCGCACGGTTTCTAACCGAATGGTGCCGTGTTGTGTTGTACGCGTTGCAACGAGCGGGAGAAGTGATAAGAGGACGACGATGAAGATACGTTTTCGATCGGTTCTATTTGCAGTGCTTCTGATTGGCGTGAGCGTCCGTCGACGCGAGGGTGTGTCGTGGGACAGGCCTGTCTGTCGGCGACCGTAATGCATATGCATGACTTTTGCCGACTACACGTACCATAGTTTTCCACAAGAATACGACGGTGTCGTAGGTGAAGATCAGTAGCGTTTTCTAACGTGAGAATAAGCAACAGCACAGAATCAGCAAAAGGAATGACGACGACGATGACGACGGCACAACAAGGTACCCGACGACGTGGTGGTCGGGATCGTGAGCGAGGCCATGGAGGCGCCAGAGTGCAAGAAGGGCTTCATCCTGGACGGGTTCCCGCGCACAACAGCGCAGGCAGAAAAGGTAAGGGGCGGGGTGCGTGTGATACAAGATAGAGCTGAGTGTAGACGGCCATGTGTGTTTTGAAGTCGAGCGTGCGTGGTGCGCGAGGCAGGGAGGTTGTATCGCGTTCCTATGTCATCGCAACTGTTTGTTTTTTGGCGTTTTCACGTTGAGGTGAGGCTATTGCTGCACAGAATGGCCTCTTTGTTGTCTGTTGCTGTCGGTGCTGCTGTCGTTGCGATGGTTTGACGCAGCGAGTTGTGACTACTGGTTGTGTTGCTGCGCAGGCAATCGGTGCTGTCGAAAGGAGAATCAGATCCTCCTTCCTTGCATGAATTGTTTTTGCCCTTTTTGTATCACGTTTTCTGGAAACGTCGGTGACGTGTAACCATATCATGGTCGTGTAAAGGGCACTACCGCTGTGTACGTTCTCCTCTGTCGGTGTGCCGCTACATATTGCCGTGCGATCCCGAAACGCCGTCCGTGTCTCTTCAAATTCGTGATTGGATTCATCGGTTCGCAACCAACCCCTACAGAAATGAGTCCCCGTTAAATCAGTCCCCGTTTGTCCTCTCCTTCCCTTCCCCTCCCTCCCCCCAGCTTGACAACATCCTGTCCGCCAAGGGCGTGGCCATTGACAAGGTGATCAACCTAGTCATCGACGACAAGGTCCTCATCCGCCGCGTGCTCGGCAGGTGCGTCGTACTGAGTATTCTGCTGTAGCGTACGTAAGCTCTTGCCGCGGCGTACCTCCCTCCGTACCTTCCTTCGCTTGTCCCGGCGTTGTCTGTACGAGCGAAGCATGCGTGTATCGGTTCTGTGTACTCTTTCTGGTGGAAGGCGTTTGCTTGTCCTGTTTTCCCTTTCACCAAGCGCAAGAATTTAGCTTCGCCTAGGATCTTGTCGTAGACAGGCGGGACGCCCTTCGGCGTGGAGCGGGGAGCGGGGTGGGGGGGCTGTACTCATAGTCGTGTATGCCGTAGTCGTTAGACCATTGACCTCGCATCCCTACAAAGTCGGGACGGAGCACGCCGGGTTCTCACCTGACCAGGCTCTCACATCACCAAGCGCGAAGAGTCGTGAGGTATTCGGCGAGTCGCATGAAGGGTGCGCTGCATCCTGCTAAGGGTGTTCGGCATCTTGTGCTTACTTCCTTGCGTACGGATGACAGCTGCGTATGACTTAATTTATTTTCTGGTGCTTTCACTTCCTGAGACAGTTGTAAGCACTGTTTAGCTGCCTCGAGGGTGCTTGACCATGTTAACACAACGTGGTGCGATCATCCCCCTTGCGCGGAGTGAGGGTTCTCCACCCCGCACAACATGATCTACTCGACCACCCTTATGGTTACTGCCAAAATAAAAACAGAGGTACCAAAAAACGGCAACCTGGTTGCCGAGTTNGGGGGGGGGGGGGGGGGGGGGGGGGGGGGGGGGGGGGGGGGGGGGGGCGGATCAATCTGGGAGGACTGCTTCGTGGGCGCAGTAGTGCTCTGTGTTGGGTTTAGTGCCGATCCAGCGCATTCTCACTCTCTTTTCATCGCGATCGGCACCTACAACGTGGCCTGCCCGGTGCGGCAGCGGTGTTGTTTCAGGGCCATCGGCTACAGCACTAGAGATAAGATGTTGTCCGTCTGTGGCAGTTACACGTGGGTTTCCCCCTGCTCGTGTAGTGGTGCTTGACCGCTCTGCGCTAACCACCGCACCTGTCGGATCACCTGATAGGCGTTTCTTAGAACGTGGATGGAATCATTCGACCATGGCACGTACGATGTTGCATCGGGATCACTCACAAGGCTTTGCAGTCGGAACCCCGAGCTATACTCTCCGCCCGCGGGTGGTTTGGTTTGTGAAAACCTTCCTCTGTCGCCACACACGTGCAAACCAACACGGAAGCTATGAACGCTTTTTCGGGGTCTGTGTGGGTATCGTAGATCGGACGTAGAATATTACCGCCTCAGCTTCAGGCGCCAGGACATCTGTGACAGCACCACGAGTGTGCCGTGGCCGAGCAGCAACATACAGAAACCAGCACTTTTGAAGCACTTCGAATGTATCCTTGTACTCGCGACACTTTCGGTGCCCGCGGTCGGCTGATCCGCTGTTGTCTCTTGTCCGTTCGTGATTGGGAGGGCAGGTGGATCCACCCAGCCTCCGGGCGCAGCTACAACATATTTTCGAACCCCCCCAAGGTCGCCGGGAAGGACGACGTGAGTGCTTTCGTGCTGCAACTGCGCTAGTCTAGTTTTGATGTGCGCGTGACCTTTTTTTTTTTCTACTTTGGGAAGTACGACGCAGTAATGTAGCCAGATGGATGGTGTTGCTGGCATATGAGAACCCTGCTGTGCGAGTCGGGTCGGTGCGCGTGCGCCCTCCATTTTCACGTGTTTGCCAGACTGGTAAAGAGTCTTGCACCTTGGAGACAACGCTTGCTTTGGAGCACGCGGCGGAGGGAATGTCAAGTCGCTGCTCTCGCTCTCCTAGGAGCGCAGCCACACGTTGTATGCTTGCACTTGCACCTTGGAGACAACGCTTGCTTTGGAGCACGCGGCGGAGGGAATGTCAAGTCGCTGCTCTCGCTCTCCTAGGAGCGCAGCCACACGTTGTATGCTTGCACTTGCACCTTGGAGACAACGCTTGCTTTGGAGCACGCGGCGGAGGGAATGTCAAGTCGCTGCTCTCGCTCTCCTAGGAGCGCAGCCACACGTTGTATGCTTGCACTCGATCACTTGGTGCATCTCTGGTTTCGAAAGTTCCAGTTGTTGCCCACGCGTTGCGCCGAAGTATACGTGCTTCGATGTGGATTCGACGCTTGAGCCCGGTCCGTAACTGTCTCAAAACACCGTTGTGAATTCCTCGCATTATACTGCCCGTGTTCTTGTTTTGTGTTGTTATGTCTGAATTGCTCCACCTGCTTTCATGTTGCCTTTTTAATCTGTCTTTGATATCCTCCTTTTGTCCTTGTTTGCAGAGAACGGGCGAGCCCCTCACGCGCCGTTCGGACGACACCGCGGATAAGCTCCGGAGCCGGCTGACAGCCTTCCACCAGCAGACAGAGCCAGTCATCGACTACTACGAGCGAGCTGGCAAGACCGTCAACATCGACGCCAAGCAGGACAAGAACGTGCGCACCTTTCCTGTACATGGTAGACGTGCTTGTTTGTTGTTTTTGTTTTTCTCCCATCATTGGACTCTGTCGTCTGCCCCTCTGGCCCCTATCCTCCACTTCTACTAGGTAGACGACCCAACCGGGGTCACACGGGAGGGGGGGGTTGGACCGACTACTGCGGTTCCTGCCTGAGATGTTTTTATCGCGAGAAAGGTACAGCAATCCCTTCCCTCGCGACTTATGAAGTCGATCAAGTTTACTAACAACGAGCTTTGCAGTGCGTCGCTTGCAACGGAGACCAAGATTTAATAAGCGAGAAAAAGCTCACTCTATCGGGACTCGAAGCCATGACGTGGCCCTTAGCAGGCTGCGAGGCTACCCGCTAGACCACCGGGGCGACCGGTTGTGAAGCCTTGTGTTGCGGGGCGTCTATTTGGGGTCGCTTTCACGTTTGATAAGTAATCGGTTTTTTGGTTAAGCGTTTTTCGACACGACCTCGCGTCCCAAGTTCTGTGTGCCTCCACGAGCGTGCGCCTTGGACACAGCAGCAGCAGCACCTGACCCTCCTCCCTTCCTCCCTTTGTACGACTTGCCGGAGACATGTCACACCTCAGGTGTCGCTTTTTGGTAAGTATACGTGCGTTTTCCTACCTATTCGGCTTCGACAAAAATTGTGTGTGATGTATTTAGACGTTGCCAGTTTTGCCTGCCCCCGCTAGGCTTGAAGGTGCGAGTGAAGAGACTGCAAGGATGGGGAGCTTGTTACACAGTGTATGCATGGCTGTTCCAGACCAATGGGTTGGTACTGCGTTTGCTTGGCCCGCAGCTTTTGAGGCACTCTGCCGTCGCATGCATACATAAGTGGTGCGAACTGATGGTGTTTCGCGGTGCATGTATCAACTTGTCTTTGTCCTTGCTAAAGCTCTGCGTGAAACGGGAATGACATATCATTTACCCAAGGATTAGCAACCACATCCGAAACACAACTACGTACAGACCATGAGGCCTTGGCATGCATTGCAGCCCCCCCCCTCAATGCCGGTGTTTGCCATCGGGAGTGGGTTTTCGTCGCTTGGCAACGACGTTGTAAAACAAGCCAATTCACTTCGTGAACTCGGCAACCAGGTAACCGTTTTTTTTTTTTGGCGGTAATCAGAAGGGTGGTCGAGTAGATCATGTTGTGCGGGGTGGAGAACCCTCTCTCCGCGCAAGGGGGATGATCGCACCACGTTGTGTTAAAATGGTCAAGCACCCTCGAGGCAGTTACACAGTGCTTACAACTGTCTCTGGAAGTGAAAGCACCAGAAAATAAATTAATTCATACGCAGCTGTCATCCGTACGCAAGGAAGTAAGCACAAGATGCCGAACACCCTTAGCAGGATGCAGCGCACCCTTCATGCGACTCGCCGAATATCTCACGGCGCTTCGCGCTTGGTGATGTGAGAGCCTGGTCCGGTGAGAACCCGGCGTGCTCCGTCCCGGCTTTGTAGGGATGCGAGGTCAATGGTCTAACGACTACGGCATGCACGACTATGAGTACCCCCCCCCCCCCTCCTCTCCACCCCTCTGCCGTGGTATAAATAGTCAACTGGACAGCAGCTTTCACGCCCTCTTCGTTCTCTTATCCTGCGGCCCGTATCGTCCCAGTTTGCGGTCTTTCTCCGTTACATATACGTTTTATTTTCTCGAACGAGCTCTTTGTAATTGCCTTTTGTGTCTGCTTCTCCATACGGGTGTGTGTGCGAACGTTGTTCTTTTTTTCTTGCCCCGCAGGTGATCATGGGGATCATCCGCAAGGCGCTCGGAAACCCCGACGCATAATAGTGTCTTTTTAGTAGCACGCGGCGGAGGGGGTCTTCGGAGGTTAGGGGGGGGGGTGCACTATTTTCTTGTTCCGGCGGGCGCCAGCGAGAAAATCCACCGCAGTTGTAAGCACTCACAGGCCCCCAGATACAGCAGCGGTTTTGCTCGGCTATTTTTGGATTGGTTGTTGAATCGTTGGTTGTATTTTTGTATCCCTTGGGTGTGTTCCAGTAGTGTACTGGATGTCGCGGGATGTTGCGGAGCGCGTTGGAGTGGAGAAGAACATGCTCGCAGAAGGTTTTGAAAGCATGGCCTGGCCTGGCCTGCTGGAGTAGTACCCCGATTTTGCGTTGGCGGGGGGGGTTGGGGTGGGTGATAGGTTGGGTTTGCCAGGACACCACGGCGGGCTGTTCGGAGTCTGGTGGCTTATCGCAGAGCGCATTGTTGTTACGCGCCCCACCCTTTCTTCGGAAGGCCATTTGATCCTTGGCTTGGGCTGTCTCGTTTTAAAATTGGTTGTTGCTGCTGTCGCCGCCCGTCTGGTGGCGAGCTTGCCTTTGGGACAAGAATCGGATACCTGGTGGTACTATATCTAGGGCGATCACATCTCGCCAATTTTGACTCTTGGGGTCTGGTTATAGGGGCATGGCAAATCAGCATACTGCTGTGATTGGGCGTATGACCTTCAGCACGTCGTTTCTGTGCGCCCCCCCCCCTCCCTACATCACTTAACCTGCCCCCCCCTCTACATTCTAGACTTAAGTGGGTTGGCGCTGTTGGCAAAGCGCTGTAAGACACGCCACCAAATATAGCCCCCATAGTATGCGCTACCAAAGACGCGTGACGCATGGATGCGTGGAGTGAGGATTGCTTACGGAAACCTCACAGGTTAAGTGATGTAGGAGATTACCGCACACAGACTTGTTGAGTGATTACAGCTGTATACTGAAACCCCAAGGGTTGAGTGAGGTTTGAGATTGCCAGACACATGGACGGGTTGGGTGGGGATAGCTGCATACAGAAACCCCACGGGTTGAGTGATGTTGGAGTGCCGGACACATGGACGCGTTGAATGAGGATAAGACACATACCGAACCTAACAGGTGATTTGTGATGGAGATTGTCGGACACATTGACGTTGAGTAAGGATAGCTGCATACTGAAACCTCACAGGTTGATTTGTATTGGAGATTGCCGGACACATTGCCGTGTTGAGTGAGGATAGCTACATACTGGAACCTCACGAGTTGAGTGATGTTGGATAATGCCGGACACATAGACGCTTTGAGTGAGGAAAGACACATACTGAAACCTCACAGGTTGATTTGTATTGGAGATTGCCGGACACATTGCCGTGTTGAGTGAGGATAGCTACATACTGGAACCTCACGAGTTGAGTGATGTTGGATAATGCCGGACACATAGACGCTTTGAGTGAGGAAAGACACATACTGAAACCTCACAGGTTGATTTGTATTGGAGATTGCCGGACACATTGCCGTGTTGAGTGAGGATAGCTACATACTGGAACCTCACGAGTTGAGTGATGTTGGATAATGCCGGACACATAGACGCTTTGAGTGAGGAAAGACACATACTAAAACCTCACAGGTGATTTGTAATGGAGTTTGCCAGACACCTAGACGTGTTGATTGAAGATAGCTGCATACTGAACCCTTACGAGTTGAGTGATGTTGGATAGTGCCGGACACATGGGCGCTTAGACACATACTGAAACCTCACAGGTGCACAGTNGAATGTCACCCTCGAGTTGAGCGCCGCACAGGTAGACAAATGGCTAGGGTCAAAATCCTCTAGAGGATAGGTGAAACGGCAATCCTCAGAGGATTGCCCAAAAAAGCGGAAGCTCTGATTTGGTAAAAAGGTTATCCCCCCAGAGGAAACCCTCACCCAAAGCCCTGGAGGATCACTGCCCGAACACATTACAACTTCCTCCAGAGGATTTCGGAGGGTGATCCTCCAGAGCATTGAGTGGGGGGTTTCCTCTGAGGGGATAACCTTTTTACCAAATCAGAGCTTTTTTTTGGTGGCAATCCTCCAGAGGATTTGGTTTGACCTACCCTCTGAGAGGATTTGGTTTCACCTATCCTCTGGGAGGATTTGGTTTCACCTATCCTCTGGGGGATTAGGTACTGTTTCCCTCGCCGTGGATAATTGCAAACAAACCTCTAGAGGGGTGGTAAAACGGTAACCTCTGGGAGGGAGGGGAGGTGAAATCCTCTGGGGGGTTGGGTAATGTTTTCCCCGCCGTGGATTATTACAAAAAACAACCTCGAGAGGGACGGCCAGAGAACTTCCCCGTGAGTAAGTGGGGAACAATTAGTGTCCAGGAGGATGTGGCGATGCGTCTCTTCCGGGAGAGAGGCTGCTGGGAACAACGCACGTGATGTTGTTCACGTTCACGTGTTGTCCCTCTCTAAAAATGCCCTCGTTACTTGGAAGCAACACCCACAGAGTAGGTGAGCACAGGAAGCAATAATACATGGCGTAAGGAAGTGCCACAGCCGTTGATATTGAAGCAGGTCTAGTACTTCCTTTTCTCTTTCCCAAACCACGAAACACCTAACGACTCTCCACGAAATCCCTGCAACGAAAAACAAGACGAAATTCATGACAACGACGAAGGAAAAGGGCTACCTATATACGTCGGAGCTTAATAGAACTGCTATCAACAAAAACGAAAATATCCAATATCAAAATATCTACACCAGAGGGTACAGAGCACTATACTTGGCTGTGCCCACACCGCCCAACACGCTAAGTTTTCCCGCAACGGAAAAGGACCGAAAAGAGCCAGAGCGACGAAGAGAAAGGACTGATGAAATTCCCCTACACCAGCAGCGCAAAGTGCTACTTTGCTGCTATTTGCACGACCAGCATTCCTGACATCGCCATGCTACAAGACCNAAGAAAAAGGACTGACAAAATTCCCCTACACCAGCAGCGCAAAGTGCTACTTTGCTGCTATTTGCACGACCAGCATTCCTGACATCGCCACGCTACAAGACAACCCCCGCCAACTGTAAAAGACGAGCTGCAACTGCTGTGTGTGCATGGTATTAGTACACGGCGTTGCTGAAAACATCACTAGTATACACGTACAGGCATAATACTGTGCCCGAAAAGCTGTGCGACTAAAGAAAAAACACCATCCATGGGCTCATGGGCTGGACGAACCCAGCCTATTTTGGTCACCATGTCTCGCGCTGTAATACGGAAGATGACCCCGAAAAATACTTGTGCGACTTCCCGCATACTTTAGTCAGCCTTACTATCACCGTTAACCCTAACCCTAGTCAGCCTTACGAACACCACTACCGGATGCCCCTCCTTCATCCGTCATTTCTTTGTTGGTGCGCTCGGAGAGGACTGCATCCTCGTCAGCACCACGCTGCTCGCCCGCCTCGACGTTACCGCGGTTGGTGCCGCGGTCGCCGC